ACACAATTGCGGCACAGTAGGGAAACATGGTATTTTCAAAACCTGGTGCTCAGTCAATGGAAGTCAAAAAGGGAATAAAAGAAAACCTTGCTTCATACTTCATATAATAATAAATTTCAGGTGGATGGTACACTTAAATATAAAGGTACAACAGCAAAATTTTTAAACCTGGAATAGGCAAAGATTTCTTTCAACAGGACATAAAAACCAATGACCAAGTAAAATGATTGGTAAATATGACCTCATTAAAATTAAGAACTTCTGTTTATCAAACCCATCAGTAAGGTATAAGATGTATAAGATATCAAGGAACTGCCGTACTGTTTTCTACAGTGCTGTACCATTTTATATCCTTACCATCAATGTATTAAAGTTCTAATTTCTCCACATCCTTACCAACACTTATTCTTTTTCTTTCTATTATTATTATAGCTACTCTAGTGTATGTACAGTGGTGTCTCATGGTTTTCGTTTACAGTTCTCTAATGACTCATAAAAAGGAATGAAGTACTGATACATGCTACCACCTAGATAAACTCTAAAAACATTATGCTAAGTGAAAGAAGACAGGCACAAAAGCCCATATGGTGTATTATTCCATTTATGTGAAATATCTAAAATAGGCAAATCCGTACAGACAGAAGACAGATTAGTGATTGCCAGGGGCTAAGTGGAGAAAGGAATGGGAAATAACTGCTTAAGGGGTACATAGTTTCCTCTTGGGGTGATGAAAAAGTTCTGGGACTATGTAGTGGTGATGCTTATACAATATTGTGACTATACCTAAATCTACTGAATTATATACTTTAAAATGCTTAAAATAATAAATTTTATGTTATTTTTATTTAACCACAATTTTTTAAAAAACTCATCAATAAAAGAGTGAAAAGGAAAACCACAGGGTAAGGGAAGGTATTTGTAATATACATAACCAACAAAACCCTCACAATCAGAATATATACACTCAAATACATAAATCAATAACAAAAGACAGATGACCCATTTTCTAAATGGGCAAAAGGCTTGAACAGGTACTTCACAAAGAAGGATATAGAAATATCAAAAAATACAATAATATTATAATAACAATAACAATTATAATTGTTAGTAAAATGCAAACTACAATTTCAATAAGACACCACTGTACACCAACCAACAAGCTTGATTCTTTCAAAATGACAAGTGTTGTTAAGGATATAGAGCAACTGGAACTCTCATAGAATGCTGGTGCAATGAAAACTGGTACATTCACTTTGGGAAAATGTTTGATATTACTTACTACAGCTGAACACACACTCCCTATCATCTATCAATTCCACTCCTCAAGACAGCCCCAAACTAGAAACAGCCCAAATGTTTTATCAGTAGTGTGGATAAATACATTGTGATATATCTGGAAAAGATGGAATATTATAGAGCAATGAAAAAGAATAAACTGTTGCTACATGAAAAAAATTCACAAATATTGGCCAAAAGGTTAAAAGAGTAACCTTGTATATTATTCCATTTCTATAAAGTTCAAAAAATTATCCTATGATGACAGAAGTAAGGATATTAAGTGTGGTTACCTGAAAGAGAGCATCATGAAACATCTAGGGCACTGGCAATGTTCGAGTTCTGAATCTGGCAGGTGATTACAACACAGGTGTGCTTACTTTGCAAAAATCCATCCATCTGTACACATATAATTTGTGCATGTGCTGGTTGAATGTCGCATGATTCCATATTGCATGATTCCACCTCAATTAAGATTTTACTTTTTTTAAAAAAGTAGATGGATAAACAAACTGGCTCATCCATACAATTGAATATTATTCAGCAATACAAAGGAAAGAATTATCGTTATGAGCAACAACTTGGATGAATCTCAGAGGCATGATGCTGAGTGAAATAACTCAGTCTCAAAAGTTACATATTGCATGATTCCATTTATATGACATGCTCAAAAAAAAAAAAAAAAAAAAAACCTCTAAGCTAGAGAATAGATAAATGGTTGCCAATGGTTGAGGATGGGGAGCCCAGGCCACAGAGGAAGAGCATAAGAGAGTATTTGGGGGTTATGGAATGGTTCTTTATCTGATCGTGGTGGTGTTATACAAATTTATATAGGTGTGAAGATTCATAGAGCTGTATATTCTACACCCCTCCCCCCAAAATTCAATTTTATTGTATGGTAATTATTAAATAAAAAATAAAGTGCAAGCCTTGGAGCCAGACTCCCTGGGTTTGAATTGCTCACTAGCTATACTATCTGTCCTGAGATAGGTTGCTTAATCTCCCTATTTCTCAGTTTCCTCGTAAGAATAATGGGGTAACAGGGACACCTCTCTCATGGGGTTGTTATGAGCATTAAATGGACTAGACATACAAAGCATTTAGAACAACACCTGGTACAAAACAGGTGCCCAACAAATATTAGTTATTATTAGCAGTAGCCATGCAGATCCTGCAGGATTTACGTTTATAAGCTGTGTAATTTTAAAAGAGTATTACTTTTCAAAAACCCAAATGTTTATCAGGTGATGAGTAGAAAAACAAAACGTGGTCTATGGTGGAATATTATTCAGCCATCACAAGGAATGAAGCACTGATTTGTGTTACAACATGGATGAACGTTGAAAGCATTGTGCTAAGTGACAGAAGACAGACACAAAACGCCACATATTATATGGTTGCATCTTATATTAAATGTCCAGAATAGGCAAATTTATAGAGATAGAAAGTTGCCAGGGGCTGGGAGAGCAAGGAACACTAATAAGTATGGGATTCCTTTTTGGAGTGATACAAATGATACAGAACTAGATGATAATGATAGTTACACAACTCTGCGAATGTATTAAAGATCACTGAACTGTATTAGTTAAAAGAGTGAATTTTATGGTATGTGAATTATATCTCAATAAAGCTCTTATTTAAAAATATAGTAACACTTAAATGTGAGCTCACTGTTCAGTCACCTTTATCTGTCTACATGCACATTGCCTGGTATAAATTGTTTATAGAACCCTTAAATGTATTTTGATTGTTCTGCTTCTTAGTAAATTATATTTGTTTATTCTTCTATAATAAATCACTTTGCAAACGATCAAGGAGTTTTTTGTTTTTTTTTTAAAAAAAAAAAGAAGAAGAAGTCATCTTAAATGTGAAGGATGTACTTTAAATGTCAGTGGGTGTAAAAGGAGGCTTTTTTTTTTAACAATATTAACCAAAAAGGTGTGATAAAACCATTTAATGGCTGTTAATCTGGATAAATCGATTTTAAGTCATAAAGTGGCATTTAATTGACCTATGATAACTGGCTTGTTAATTCTAAATTAAATCATTATCTGAGACGCTGACCAAAAAAAAGAGAGAGTTCTTAAAGATTTGCAGCCAAAATTACAAATAAAGTTCAAGAAATAGCAAGGATAGGTGGTTATTGAACCAATTGACAAAGAAGGCTATAAACCTTTGCATTACTCACATGTCCAGTCTGGTTCAATAAAAACTTACTAAGCACTTGCTACCTGCCAGGTGTCGTGTTAGAGGCCAAAGGTGCAGGGGAAAAGCACGAAGCCAAGGTCTCTGTCTTCCTGGGCCTCACAGTCTAGCTATTGGCATCGACCAATAGAAACTGAACGTGAGCTACATCTTTAAACTTTCTACTGGCCAGAAGTAAAAAGAAACTATTGAAATTAATTTTAATAATACATATTACTTAACCCAATATATCCCAAATATAGCATCAACCTTTGGCCTTATAAAGAATCATAAATGAGATACTGTATATCCTTTTCTTCATCTGAAGTCTTGGAAACCCAGTGTGAATTTTACACTCAAAGCACATCTCAATTAAGATCAGACACATTCCAAGGACTCAATAGTCACAGGAGACTAGTAGTTGCCATCTGGAACAGCACAGGTCTAGCTGTGTTACCAACTTCTCTTTGTTTCCATTTTTTCCTTTTCCATTCTTATTTTCTCTAATGGTCTCAGTATGGCATCTGGACCCTGGGTTCAAGGAGCTTAGAATTAATCAGGAAAATAGGAGCTCCACATGAAAAAGTACATATCACTATAAAAAATTATAATAAAAATATAAGCACTGTCACATAAGGTACTCGTTTAATTGTCTAACATTTGGCATCCTATTGGCTGATTCCCGCATTTTTGGTACCATGCACACAGTAGGTGCCAAAAAATGCTTATTGAATGAATACAGGCCCAATAAGTGCTGTGAGTTTCCAGGTGGGAAGAGTCCCATCAAGCTGCAAGGGGAGGAGATGGCTTTTTGAAACACTTATTCATTCATTCAACAAATATTTATTGAGCAATTACTATGATGGGTTTGACCTGGGCCCAGATGCATCCACAGAAGTGGAACAATAGAACATTGCGAAGTCGGTTCCCCATGCTGATCGTTTCACGTCTTTCTGCCTCCTTAACCATTTTCAACAAACAACAGCTGCGCTATTATGTATTTCTTTAAATTGACTCACATCTCTTTACTTAGGAAAATTCTAACACATAACATACAAATGGAAAAACCACTATCTCCTACCATCATTAGAAGGCAACTGCAAAAAAAAGGAATACAATGTAGCGGATGCTACTAAATTTTCTATACATAACTGTAGTCCACTGAAGACTCTCAGGCTATGATTTGCTTTTTCTTATTCAAAGGTAGATTGTCCAATATTAGAGAAGAGTTAAAACATATTAGCACCAGACTTACTTTCTCCCAGCCATGATCAGCAAGCTAAACATTGGGAAAAGAATAACTGTGAGGTTTCGCCTGTATTTAATATTCGGTGCCAGCTAAAGCTAGCCTATGCATAACTCGTGGTACACATACCAGTCTTAGTGCACACTGGGGCAGAAGAGTCTCCCCTGAATTGGTAAATTTTAAACCACAGGCTCTAGCCCCAATCGGGCTCAGCCCTTGCAAAACGAGCACCATGGTGCTGATAGGGGTGGCCGGCAGAGAGGCGGTGTGTATGGCCCAGACAATTTCAACACACCTTCCTGGGAATACTGGTGTCATCTCCGCACTCTAGGAAGACCACATTTGCGCTGTGAGTAGCTTCCAGAAGGAGGCCAAGTAGGGGGCCTCTTTTATGAGTCAGTGAAAATGTCACAGTGGCTTGTAAACCAAACCCTCAAAGACATCATGACCTTCAAGGCACATCTTGTTTCCAAAGCAAGCATGCTCTTCTCTCTTCCTCTGCAGTTAGAGGGTACCCCAGCATTCATGCATCAGAATGTCCATAAAACACATGACTAATGTTAAGTGTGGCTGGAGTTCACTTTTCCTGCAAGCAGTACAATGCAACAGTTTAAAGCCCGGGCTTTGGGGTTGAGCAAACTCGGACTGGCATTCGGTTCTGCCACACTCTAGCTCCATGACGGCAGGCCAGGGACTTCACCTCTCTCAATCTGGGTTCCCCTTCTGCAAAATGGGGATAATAGTCCTGGAGGGAAGAATTATTGCGAGGATTAAATAAGTCCTTATGCCTAAAGGTGCATAGTCCTGATGCTTAAAAAGCTCTCAAAAATATTTCTTAATATTCTTGTTGCAGCTGTTGGTGGTATTCTGATGAAATATTCCTTGGTGGTATTCCTTCTGTATTGATCAGAGAGAAGCAAAACCACTAGGAGACAGGTAGATAGAAAGATAGACAGATAGATACATTATATATAGATAATTTCACGTTTATATGTAAATATATAAAAGCAAATGGCCTTATGAAGTTGTGAGTTAGCAATCTCTGTAAGGCTGTTGTCTTCGTATCTGACTGGAGCCTGAAGTCCTCAGGGAAGACAGCAGGGAAGGGAAAAGGGATGTTAGGTTAGGAAGAGCAAGAACACTCTAGAACACAGGAGGCTGGCCTGAAACCCATGGCGGTTGCCTCTGGTGTTAGTGGTATGAATGTCCCACAGTAAATACACACATCTGGCCCAGGAGCTGGAGGCACTGCGGGGCCCCCAGGGGAAGGTGGAGCAGTTGATTGGAGGACCCACTGCCCTTCACACCCCCAAGGTGATTAAGCAATAACACCTATGAGCTGCAGAACCGCTGCTACCCTCCACGCCTCCCAAGAGTCTCCCAGGAAGCTCAACCTGGTTGGAAACGCACAGAAAAAGGGTTTCTGGAAATGTAGTGCACATAGCCAAGCGCATAGTGCATAGTGCACAGTAGCCGAGCTGTTGCATTACAAAGCCACCCGTCTTCCAAATGCAAAAGGATTCCCATAAAGGGGTTTTCACCCAGAGTGCTGGGGAATTAGGTACTTGGCACGACTATGCAACTGTATAACTGCCATGAAAAATGCCATCAATCAATCAATCAATCAATCTCTCTCTCTCTCTTTGTGTTTCATTCATGAATCTCTATGCATTGACATAGAAAGATCTGAGGCCGATTGTTAGCTGAAAAGAGCTTGTCATAAAGCAACAGGCATAGTAAGATCCCACTGAGGTTAAACACACACCAGAAAACAAAACTGTGTACATCTACCTAAGTGCATGTAAGTTCATAGGAAAATAAAAGGTCTGGAATGATATGTACACTGTTAACAATGTTCATTCCTGGAGTGGGGTAGGGAGAGAATTAAAATCGTGCTAAAAGAGATCCTTCCCTTCAGACTGTGTATATCTGATTGTCTGACCATGAATACTTTATTTGAACTAAACAAATTGGTTTTTATTTGAACTGGTTTTCAACATTTAGAAATTATAATATTTCACAGGAAAACCTACAGTTCTGGACTTTATTTTTTAAGACTTGCAAGGATTTTGCTGGGCACGGCGGCTCACAACTATAATCCTAGCACTCTGGGAAGCTAAGGCAAGAGGATCACTTGAAGTCAGGAGTTCAAGACCAGCCTGAGCAAAAGCGAGACCCTGTCTCTACTGAAATAGAATTAGCGAGCTACTAAAAATAGAAAAAAAAAATTAGACAGGCATAGTGCCATGTGCCTATAGTCCCAGCTACTTGGGAGGCTGAGGCAAGAGGATTGCTTGAACCAGAGGTTTAAGGTTGCTATGAGCTAGGCTGATGTCACGGCACTCTAGCCTGGGCAACAGAGCTAGACTGTCTCAAAAAAAAAAAAAAAATTGCAAAAATTGTTGTACTAACAAATTAGTACAACCTCTATGGAAAACAGTATGGAGATTTATCAAAGAACTAAAAGTAGATCTACCTTCAACCCAGCAATCCCACTACTGGGGGTCTACCCAAAGGCAAAGATATCATTATATCAAAAAGACTTGCACTCATATGTTTATCACAACACAATTCACAATTGCAAAGATATGGAATCAACCTAAGTGCCCAGCCACTGGTGAGGTTATAAAGAAAATATGGGGTGCGTGTGTAACACACACACACACACGTACACACACCACGGAATACTACGCAGTCTTGAAAAAGAGTGAAATAATGTCTTTTGCAGCAACTTGGCTGGAACTGCAGGGCACTAGTCTAAGTGAGGTAACCCAGGAACAAAAAAACCAAATACCAAATGTTCTCACTTATAAGTGGGAGCTAAGCGATGGGTATGCATGGTCACACAGAATGGAATAATAGACACTGGAGACTCAGAAAGGGGAGGGAGAAGGTGTTTGCCATGAAAAATGACCTGTCGGGTACGATGTACACTATTCAGGTGATGGGTAAATTAAAAGCCTACATTTTTCCATTGTGCAACCATCCATATAACAAAAATCCACTTAAATAAAAAAATGGGAGGAAAAAAGAATTGCAAAGTCTGGCAACACTAGCCCCCTCCCCTGTGGCAACACTGGGCTGGACCCCTGGACAAAGCACAGGCACTCCAGGTCTCTGCTGGTGGCCAACATGGGCTGCCTAGCCTACCGACCTCCTGCCACTTGTTAAAAGAACCCTGATTCTGGTCATCTGCTGGGCAGACAGGTGCTTTGGGCGTCCCTCCCCAGCCCTGGGTGCAGGCGTGAATCTTGATTAGCGTAAGTCCATCATCAGGGACTTGCTCGGGCTCAGGCATGTGACACGATCCTGCCAATGGGACTGGGGGAGAGGAAGGCCACTGGAGCTTCTCGGAACAATTTCTCTCACTGATTGAAAAAAGAAAAAGAAAACTCAACAGGGGAGGACACAGCCACCAATTCATTCACTGGAACAACAGGATGAAAATATGGAAAAATAAACTTGCATTCTCGGTGAGCAAACGGAACTGCTGAATCAGCCACCCTGGAATCACCTCCTTCTAGACTTCTTGGGATGCAACATAATTTTTTCCTAATATTTGAACCCTTTCTGGCAGGGATTTTTTTAATTTATAGGCCAAAGCATCCTTGCTAATATAGACTTAGTCTCAACTATACCTGGGTCCTGTAGGCATGTGACCCACCAGTCCCCAAATGTGCCACCAAACACCCCCATCTCCACATCCTTCCTCTGCCCTGAGTGCCTCCCTCCGTATTCCCATCCTTACATCCCTATCTGGCAAATTCCTCGTCACCGCTGAGAGTCCAGGTTAAGTATCACTTTTTCTCCTAGAGCTTCTTCAATCCCCTGGCTCAGGTCATGTTAATTGTTCCCTTATCCACGCTCCCATAAAATGCCCCCAAAATCTCCATTTCAGCACTTTCCTGAATTGCATTTGTGAGTCTATTTGCATGGCTGCGTGCTCCCCAAGACAAGAACCATGTCTGAGTCATCTCTGAATTCCCAGCAAAGGTTTGCTGAATCGAATCAACGTCTTGGTCATTGTCTACCACCTGCAGCCTCCTCTTCTATAAGAGAAGACCATCATATCATTTTGGCCTCTGAGTAGGATTCAGCCTAAAGACAGACAGGAGGATTCAATGACCCTCTGAGCTTCCTTCTAGCTCTGTGACAATTTTAAGACTCCCAGATCAGGATGCTGGCATCAGTGCTAAGAAGCAGAAGAACTGAGAACCATGAGTAGCTTCTGTTTGATAAGGATCCAGGGAGCTACATTCACTCATTAAGTAAATTTAAATAAATTTGAATAAAATCCACTCACCCAAAAAAAGATGCACTGTGCATTTATGGCTCTGTGGCCGGCATTGTGCTAGGCACTGGGGGCAATAATGAGAAACAAGACACCAGCCAAGACTTCCTGAAACTCGACCGATAGCAGGAACAAGAGACAAACAAAAATGTCATGTGACAAATGTCATAAAAGCTAGAGAGACCCTGGCAGCAAAGAGAAGACGCCAAGCTCAAGCCTGAGAAGACAGGCAATTCCTCTAAGAGAGGTTGCTTACCCAAGATAATACCTAAAGATTGAGTAAAAAGAGATTGGACAGTATTCCAGGTAAAGGGACAAACATGTACAAAAGCTCAGAGGTGAGAAAATACATACAAGCTTTAAAAAGTTCAGCTTAGCTAGAACATAGAGCAAAAGGGTATATCGAGGCCGGTAGGCAGAAGCCATAGAGAAAGCATATGGTGGAGCCATAATAAAGCATTTGGTATTTATCCTGAAGCCAATGGGGAGCCATTGAAGGTTGTACACAGGAGGTGGCAACGATTTTCCTACTAGCACTCTCTGATTTGGTATAGAGATGTGCATGGACTAGACCAGAGGCAGGAATGCTGGTTAGATGAAAGACGATGGTGGCTTAATCTGGGGAAGTATTTGGAAGGAGAAAGAGTAGAAGCACACCCCTCAGAATCTAGAACACTGCACAGCTGCAAGTCACCTCCCCAAGTGGGCAAATGGATCACGCACACACAAACACACACGCAAGATTCTAACATGCTGTCGCCTCAGAGACCCCTGTAGAGATGGAACAGCTAAAGGACAGGGCTGAGCCGGAAAGGAACAACCCGTCCCTGCCATCACCTGGAGCTGAGCAGTGGCCCTCTGCACCATCCCAGCCCTGCCAGCCTGGCTCCTGAGTGCCCCAGACCCTGCCCACCTGTGGCTTCCTGAAAGCCTGGCCTGTTACTGTGCCCATCCGGCTGGACACCCTCTCCTGCCTCCTGCACAGCGCCCTGCTGGGGGCTTACACCCTCTAGCAGTCCCTGCCCCCCTGCCCCTGCTGTCCCCAGGCATGCCACACCCAGCCAGGCACAGCCAGGAGGCCTCCCAGGGGACGCGGGGGGGTGGAAGGTCCGACATAGGCCAGGCTGGGGCCAGAGACAGCAGCAATAAGGGCCTGGGAGAGCTGAGCAGGCAGAGAGCGACTGGGCAGGGGGCCCTGGGGCTGGCCCCGAGACCCCACCCAGAATGCCGCCAACACTGCCTGCCCAGGATGGGAAGAAAGAAGCCCAAGGTGGGGAATCACCCCTGGACACTCCACCTGCTGCCGAGGACTGGGAGACAGAGTACTAGGGTGCTGGAGGGTCCAGCACACGGGACTCAGGTCCCCCAGGGGATTTTCCTAGAGCCCAGAGTGACATTAGCCCTGTCTGAGGTACCCCAAGAAACATTCTGCTCCCATTCTCCCCTACCCCCACGAACCATGGCCTCAGAAGTCAGTCCTTCAACTCACTTGATGAGCCTCGACCTAAGTCACCTGACTCACCTATCCCCAAGCCTGGTCCTCACCCAAAGCCACTGCCACCTGCCTGTCCAGCCCGGCCCCTCCCACTCTCAACACCAAATCCCAAGCTGAATCCCCAGCCCAAACCCACGCTCTTTCTCCTCATCCCTACGTGCCTCAGCCCAACCAACCCAGTCCTCGGCTTTAACTTCTCCTAAACTCCAGCCCCAAACAGCCCCATCCTCAACCCCTTTCTATCCCAGCCCCCCGCTGTGGCATCCCATGCCAACACCCCACAAACTGGCCAACGTGTTCAGACGCCTGTAGCACCTCACCCCATTTCCTGCTCTTCAGGCAGGAAGCCCCAGTTGAACAA